ATATATATATATATATATATATATATAAAGACGTGTACCGCACTTCCGAAAGCGCCACGCAAGGTCAAAGTACGCTAGTCAGACGCGAGGAGATGGCTCTCTCCAGACACTGCACTCTACGTATTCTTGGCTCTTCAGCAGCTGCTTTGACGGAATTGGCTGGCATCTCCATAGCTCTTATTTGGAGATCGGCGGCTTCATGCCAGGTTAGACACCAGATGCCAGGTTAACCGCTGAATTGCCCTCCCCCACAATAAATGGCATTGGTCGACGTACTAATCGCCCTTAAGCTACATCACCCGATTGTGCACCAGCCGCAAATAGCCACGATGCGCCGAAAATCACTTTCTCTCAAGATCTAGTCACCACTGTTCCTACCTTGTATTCGGACATAGACGCAATGGCTGGCGATCCCCACATCATTTTAGGCTGCCCTAGACTAACGGAGGCGTATTTGGGTGGTGTGCCCTGGTATGGCGCCAAACCCTACTGTTATCCGGCGTTTGAACCAGTGCCGCGGCAGGCATTAGCCACCTTTTTAAAATCCAATTTCTTTATTGAGCATCCTATAGCTGATCATATCGCTGAAAGTATCTAGACGCAGTGGTCACGCGCTTATACGTAGGCTCCTCATCTGCTTTCTGAAATTCCCTTTCAAGCCGGCTGTCCAACGTCTGAAAATAATTCGAGTAATTCGAAATTATTCTCCAAGTTACAGAGACTTATGATAGTTACCCTTCTTCAAAGCATCCCTCAGAATCAAAAAATCCAATAGCATGTGCCTGCTTCATTCCCCTCTTCATTCAGCGGCGACCCTATCGCTCAAACAGCCGAGCTCATTCCAATGTCCTCCTTGCAAAAGAGGGAATTTTAGTGTACCACGGACTTCAGAACACAGTGCCAGCTCAACCACGATTACCGATTTCGCTGCTAATCTGTGTTGTCATTCAGGTTCGACTGGAGACGAAACATACCCAAAACACTCTCCAGCCAGAGTGGGTGGTCCAAGCTTTAGTCCATTTTCCCCCTAACACGGATATCATACAAACTAGCACAGGCGTTATTTCTTGCCGTTTCAAGGTAACCGTGGCCCTTCCCCACCGAGGCAACATATACCCCACAAAAGTGCATACTAAGATATACACACCATTTTTATGCACGAACCCTCAGGGTATTTTACTATCATCAAATAATTTCAACCTTCCGAAGTACAGGCTTTCAAATCAGTTGCGACCCAGATGACTTTCTGGCCTAGGCGGCATACACGCAGATACTCTCAAAGAATGCCTACCACTGTACCACTGTCACCTATTACATCTTTTTAGATTCATTCTTTAGGTGATTTGACCACAACACCATCAGCATTCTCTCAGCAAGTTGGTAAATAAATATATCATTATTATGCATGCTGTTTTTTCTGTGTTTTGGTACGCACGTTTGTGCACCACCATTATAGTGGTAGACGCTTTCGCGGTCAGTCCACTACCGTCCAATTTGCCTTACTACCATTTACTGTGGGCTGACAAGGGAAGTCACGAGCAAGGCTCTCTCAGCCGTTTTTTAGTCGGCAGGCCACTGAGTTTCACGCCATTTGGCTTGCTCCCGCCTCCCTGTTGTCCATCTAACACAAGTATTTCCACTTAGATCCTACACACATCTCAGTTTCGGTCGGTGGCCGTTGTTCTAACCTGCCTGAATTGCTTAGCGGAGTTCTTCTTGGCATTTTCATTTCTCTAAGCATCATCGTTACTGTTCTCTCGCTGTTACCGTCTAGATGCTCGGCGCTGTTGCGTGCTGACGGCAAAAGGTTGCTGCAAAACCGGTTTATCCTACACAAGGTGATAACACTTGCTTATTTTCGGTTTGGCATGATTATTGAGTGACAACAAACGACAAAACTGCACCTGTGGCTCTCTGCAACCTCGTCAGCACCCTTCCACATTGTTGACAAAGCCTGGCAGACCCCGAAAGTCTGGATGCCTGGATTTCCACCAACTTTCTCCACTCGTTTGCTGAGACTTCGTGAGCGATCTCTCTTACCTCCAGTTTGTTTCCAGCACCAGGATCCCCTCAGTCTTCCACGGGTGTCATTGTCACTGCCCATCATTAGCGGGGTTATTCAGGGTAGCGTGCCGGGCCCGCACTGTCCTCGCCACACATCAATAATTCCGCTGACTCGATCAACCGTGCTGACGACATTAGGATGGCACCCATTTCAGGCTATTGACTCTGCCCACGATTCACTTAATATTCAGTCCAATACGCATTCTTTAACCCGCTGGTCCTCCAATTCATGCATTCTTCTACCATTCCCAATGTCGAGCTTCCTCACATCAGTTCCAAATCCTCATGATACGTTTTCCCCAGTGGACACTTTTCACACACTTTCAAGTGAAAGAACCAGGTCGTAGACCCCATTTACCTTCAGATTTTCCAAGTATGCATGGTGCAACTGGCTAAAGCGAGCGAGCTCCGCTCTCATTCCACGGCCTCGGGGTCCTAATAATCTAGGGGTAAGGTCCAAGCCACCTGATAATACGACTGTTTCATGCAACCATCCCTAGCTCAAAATTCGATGGGCTTGGCTTCCATGTACACGGAGTGTTCGCTGGCAATAATGGAGCTAGCTGACTAAGCGATAAGTCTGTCTTCATAACCCCATGAGTTCTGAGCAAGCTTATCAAAGATATAAACGAGATTAAATTATATATATGTATTGTAACGGTCGAACGGTATCTTCGANCGTGGGGAATTTCATTGTCAACATAACGGATGATACATGTATATATTTGAGACTTATGGTTAATTGAAATTCGTATACAGAAAAACGAGGGAGTGGCTGTCAATTTGTGGCTGTATCAATAAATAACTGAAAACATTTCGCCCGATGGTGGTCTGATAACTTTTAAGCACGAGCATAACTGGGCGACGATTCGCACAGCGAAGATAAAGGACCTTATGTTGCAACTTCATATATATTTAAAATTGCCTCCAATCTTGAATGACTGCCTTCCCGGTTAACAATTCAAATGGACCGCCCTTTTTTGGACTGGTGGAATTGAACCCTATTTCAGATTTACAAGATATCTATATTCTCCGTTTTTCTTACCACGCAAATCGTTTTTACCGCTCTGGTTATACTATTTTTGTACCAAATCCTTGGGCAGCTATATATTGTTTTAATTCATGAGTTTGAGACGCGGTTTCGTTCACGCGTTGACTGTTGATCCATATCGACTTTGCTTGCCTTTTGGAGTACCTCACCGTTTGTCGAAAACCGTTGAGGTTTGTAATTTTGTATTCCGTGTAACTACTTTCATTTTTCATAGTACAGCACATTTGCGTAGCCATTCGTTCGGAGTTTTGCCGGTTTGGTTGCTAACCTTGGTGCTCGTTGCTCAAGAATTCGAAACGGTCGTTACAGTACTCAACGTTGACAAGCGTGGTTCTCTGGATGCCAATCACCAGGTCAATGTCGGTCAATTCAAAACGAGAAGAAGAATTTGAGAAGAAAGTCAGGCAAGTCGGACACGGTTCGTTTTCAGCGATGAGCTCTAGGGCTAGTATAGCTTCTAAGATTAGTTTGGGGAATTCGGGGTCCAAAGCTGCTTTATTGTTAGCACAGCTTAAAGAGAGACAACTTAAAGAGGAACTCGAGCTTGAGTCGGAGGCGATGAAAACTAACCATAAAAAACAACTCCTGAAGGCTAAAGCCGAGGTGGAGTTGGCTGAGCTGGAAGCTTCGTTGGCTGGAAGCGAAGACGGCTTAGAGCAGTGCAACCGGTCAGGTTTTTTAGAGTCCTCAAAAAGTCGCATCAAAAGCTATGTCGAAGATTGCAGAAAGATGGTAACGCCATTGAACTCTGAAAATCGACATAGTCTCGGAGTAGGAGAACGACAGCATAATGGATTAGGTGACTTCCGTCATCTGGAATCCATTATAGAGGGCCTGGAGTTGCCTAAAATCGGCCTCATGCAGTTTGATGGTCAACCCAGGAGCTATTGGAGGTTTATGCGTCAATTCGAGCTTTACGTCGAATGCAAGACCCAAGACGAGGGAAAGAGGCTAGTACAATTGGTAAACGCGTGCTCCGGTGTAGCCAAGGAGGCCATCGAAGATTGCCTCCTGCTTCAGCCTGCGGAAGGATATGAACGAGCCCGCCGCATTCTGCACGAGTCTTTCGGTAGGTCTCATGTGGTTGCTAGAGCCCTGATAGATGATCTCATTAAATGTTTTCGTTCTACCTCGTGTAAGGCAAGAGATCTGACTCAGTTGGCCTTCAAGATGCAGAGTTGCGAAATAGCTCTGACTCAGATGAACTACAGTGCAGAACTGAGTTCCCTGGAGAATTTGGATAGGTTAGTGAGGTGCTTGCCCAATACTTTACAACACAAGTGGGCGGAATTCGTTTACCAAACCACTCATGATCGGGGAGAGCCAACCTTCGCCGACCTCACACAGTTCCTTACTCAAAGGGCGAGAGTGCTAAGCAGTCGTTACGGCCTTCTGGCAGAATCCGTTACGCAGAAGGACCAAGGTGTACGTGGCCAAGCTGTTACAGATGTAGGCAAGAGCAGAACCGCTTGGAGTCATGCGATCGTTTGCTCAGATCAGGCCCCACTGTTGAGCGAGATCAGTTGTAAGGTTTGTGGTGGTGAACACCGTATCAGCAACTGTGAGCGCTTTCTGTCCTTCGAGCCAGTGGAAAGATGGTCCACCTTAAGGTCTCTCAATGCCTGTTTTCGGTGTCTTGAAGGCGGCCACAAAGCGAAGGACTGCCAACTGCAATATCGATGTGGGGCGGATGGATGCCGAGCCAAACACCACGCTCTGCTACATTCGAAACCACTAGATAAAAAAGCAGAGTTAGTTCCTGTAGTCAAAAGCAATGCAATGACTGACCGCAGGACGGCTGTTTCCCTAGGACTACTTCCAGTTCGTCTGAGAGGTCCTTCGGCAGAACTGATCACGTATGCCTTCTTAGACAGTGGGTCCGATACAACTATCGTATGTCATAACTTGCTGCACCAACTCGGCATAGAGAGTCATCGAACGCCGCGTGAAATACAGACAATCAGTGGATCTTGTTTAGCAGTTGGAGAATCTGGAAGTTTCGAGGTGTGTCCACTTCACGGTGATGAGGTTGTTTTAGTGAAGGGTGCTTCAGTAGTATCTGAAATCCTCCCATCATTAGTCGTGGATTCACGCTTGGAAATTGCAAGTCGCTGGGCTCACCTGAAAGAATTGCCCTTTGAGGATATTCCTTCGAAATCGGTTGGTATATTGATTGGCTGTGACGTTCCAGAAGCTCACTGGGTGCTAAATCAGCGTTTGGGAGGCCGAAAAGAGCTATTTGCCGTTAAGACACCGCTGGGTTGGGTTATTCTTGGGCCACTGGGTCCAGGTAATCGTGTGGGCGTCGCCGCGAGCTGCCTGTCGTCAGTTGAGCTGAAAGCGGGTCGAGCAACTATTAGCGTTATTTCTACTCAAACTGTTTCTAGGCGTTTGTTTGCCCGATGGCCTAGCTGGTTTGTATTGTTGAAATCAGTTGCATGGTTGAGGCGCTTCATCCACTACATCATGCACAAATTTGGAAGGTCTGGCGTCATGCCGTTTATAGGTCACCTACAAGTGAAAGAATTGACCAAATCTCGGGTGGTCGTTACCCGTCAGGTTCAAGCGGAAGTATACAGTGATGAGTTAACTCGTTTAAACCCATCGCATTGCGATTTAGAAGAGTGGCTCACCCGACGTTGGAAACAAGTGAAATATTGGTCGGAAGTTTTCTGGAACAGGTGGATGAAAGAATACATTCCAACGCTTCAGTTACGCCATAAGTGGTTAAGTCGGAGCAGAACCTCAGGGAGGGTGAGGTCGTTATGGTAGTGTCCGAACATCTTTCTAGAGGAAGGTGGTCGCTGGGTATTGTCACCGAATGTCAAACGGATGCAAACGGCCTCGTCAGAACGGTCCGCACTAGCTCCGGTGTCACCAAGCGCGATGTTAGGAGCCTATGTTTGCTGGAAGGGGAGGACTAACGAGGGGCTACGCAGGTTTATGGATGCTTCTTGATAGACGTATTAGAACAGCCGGTTTTTAGTTCAGCGTGATATCGTGGGTAGGCGCGTGTAACGTTGAAACCGGCCTTTGTGGCAGGAGTGGACTCGGACCATTCAGGTCGGTGGCTAACGTTGCATGCTTGTAGGCTAGAGCTCTCCTGATAACTTACCTGTTCGCTTACTGACCGTCGGAGGAATTTTGGCCGGCGGTGTTGCAACTTCATATATATTTAAAATTGCCTCCAATCTTGAATGACTGCCTTCCCGGTTAACAATTCAAATGGACCGCCCTTTTTTGGACTGGTGGAATTGAACCCTATTTCAGTTTTACAAGATATCTATATTCTCCGTTTTTCTTACCACGCAAATCGTTTTTACCGCTCTGGTTATACTATTTTTGTACCAAATCCTTGGGCAGCTAGATATTGTTTTAATTCATGAGTTTGAGACGCGGTTTCGTTCACGCGTTGACTGTTGATCCATATCGGCTTTGCTTGCCTTTTGGAGTACCTCACCGTTTGTCGAAAACCGTTGAGGTTTGTAATTTTGTATTCCGTGTAACTACTTTCATTTTTTATAGTACAGCACATTTGCGTAGCCATTCGTTCGGAGTTTTGCCGGTTTGGTTGCTAACCTTGGTGCTCGTTGCTCAAGAATTCGAAACGGTCGTTACACCTTAGTTGGAGTAGGTTATCATACATCGCTGATGCCTCCTAGCCACATTCGTGCAGGGCTCAACAACTACGATAAGCAGGCAAGGTGAGTAACAACGCCTGCAGTTGTGAGGATAATGGACCTTCGTTGGCAATTCGGCTAGGCTGCCGTGCGTAGTTTAGGCGTCACAACAAGCGTCACAAACAGTTGCGGGCCCGGTGGTTATAGTTAGTAGCCAAAGTAGGCGACGGCGGGTGCAGCTGGCACGATGACTAAAATTTGGCCTTATTCTATATTAAGATGGTTATAATGTAACCCAGTGAGAGATCATGATCATTTCCAATAAGGAAGATATCTTTGCGTTGGTATTTCATTTACAAATATCGCGTAATGCTGCTGTGCATATCTGTGAATCGAGACCATCTACAGCGATAACACACATTATTACTGCAAGACGCATCTGGCTGTCTTCATAGCTTTATGGAAAGAAAATTGAGTTTTCTAAATAAACCGTGTTGTACCGAATTTCCCAAGAGAAACATGTCCAATCTGTTTAATGTAAAGAGTAGAAAGCGCAAAATTTTTGACCTATTTACCGGGATGAATCTTGAGCTGAATATTTTGTAAATTTTATTTCACTTTTAAAGAATGAACCGAAATTCCAAAATATTCTTAAGCTTGATTTTGTGCTTCGTCTGATGTGCTGGCGATCACTTGAGCACCCGCGGTGGTCGTTGGCCTTGGAATTTTGCACAATTAAACAACATGCTGTAGAAAACATCACCGAAACGGGCAGATGGATTAGACAAAATCCCCCATAAATTTGCAACTTTGAAGATCCCATTATTTCAGTAGGAAATAATTTCTTTTTATTTCTAGTGAGCGGCCTGTTTAATGCTGAGTCTTAGACGTACACCCAAAATTTCTCCTCAGTCGGCTGCAGTTCAGTTGGGAGTTGTTTAACAAACTCCTAACTGCAAATGCTTTTGCCTGTAGTCTACGTTAAAACAGTGAGAAGTCTCGTGAGAAAGCCAGTTTATTCACGCGTTTTCTACTTTATTGCACTTGGAAATAGTCTCAAAACAACATGAACAATAATTTCACCCTCTACTTCCGCAAAATTTCAAAATCGAGCCATGCATTTACCTGCGTATAAAAGTTTTCCATCACCTCGCCAGACATATCGCCAAACAAAGCCAAGGAATACGTTACATTAGTTATTATTTTTAATTTTTATGATGATTGGCACACGTTATATCGGCAAGGGCTTCACTGGTACACCGAACCATCGATAGTGTCGTTGGATGCATTGGTGTGTTCATGGGAAGAACGGGCAGATAGCACAATGGGGCGGCCAGTGTTCTCAAGTCCTGGCGCAAATTAAATGGATTGGGATGGTTTGTGTGTGCAAGTAACACCCTTTTCTGAAATATTGGGTGTGCGATGAACTGCGCGCAAGTCATAAAAATTGGTATATTAGTCGTGGTACCATCATTGCGATGCCGTACAGCGGTTCGCAGACAGCCCGCAATGAGCAACTTGGGTAAGCCGTTCGGGGTTTTCATCGTAGATGTGAGTGGCCAAATAATCGTGACAAATTAGGAACAAAATTCATTAAAGATATTCTTTGGTCCATT